AAATTTTGTAAAGTGAAAAACTACTCCTACTAAAAATATCATAAATTTTCTAAAGTGATTCTAGGGACAATTCCAAAGGAGGGATAGTGATGAAATGGAATTGGTAAAATCAATTCATTTTTTGTGGCTTAGTTTTGGTTCAGTTCTAAAAGTTTTATGATTGGTTACTAAACTTCTAAAACAGTGAGAACTGATTTGGTTATTGCAAAATCCAGTCAAATTGACTGACCACGTGCACTTTTAATTCTAATTCATTATCTTTTAAATCCTTATATGCATCATTAATAATAAATAAAGAATTATACACTAATCTTTCTTAAGGTTTTTGAAACTATGGCCTCTTTTAGCAAAATGGAAAAAAATAAAGTCAATTTATTAATTTATTAACTTATTTAAGTCACATTATCTTTATAATTTTTTACATATTTTTTCATAATACGCCTTTAAGTTCCAAAAAAAAAGGAATTTTTTTAAAGTTCTTGATATTAAAATTTTATAAAATAAATAACATACAATATTTTCATTGTAATTAAGATCCTTCAACATTTATACAGAAAAAATTTAACTCAGAGAAATTTTGAATAACACTGCCTCTGTTTGGGATTGGCTTTTTTGGGCTTTTTTGGCTAAAATAGCCACAAAAAACAAAATAGGCTATTTTAGCCACAAAAAACAAAACATCAAATCCAACCCATAATCATTACAATCCTCTCTCACAAAAAAAGCCAAAAAAGCCAAAAAGCTAAAAAGCCCTTCCCAAACCAGGCTAAAATAGCCCAGGCTAAAATAGCCAAAAAGCCAAAAAGCCAACCCACTTCCCAAACGGAGGCAGAGAAATTTCACTCCGATTCAGAGAAATTTCTATGATTTTACAGAGAAATTTCAAAAAATTTATGTGATTCTCTGAGTCAGGACCTAAACTTCTCTGAGCCAGGTAAAATTTTTCTGAGCCGAATTTTTTCTGTGAAAATGTTGAAGAACCTTAACTAATAAAAAAATAGGACATTTACACACAAATCCTAATTTATGAACTTATACTCTATTAAGTCCTAACTAAGATTTTTTAAACCTTCAAGTCCCATTAAATTTTAATAGTCAAAATTGCCCTTCAAATAATGATTCTTCATCATTTATGATAATCTATAAAGAACATGATGATTTGATATTTATTTTAATTTTCAAAACTTTAAAATATCAATTTTCAAATTGAAAAAACTAAAACAAAAAAACTTATGTGCAAAAAAAAAAAAAAAACAATGTTTTACTTTTGAAAAAATTGAAAAAGCTGAATTATTTTTTTGTGTAAAATTAAATTTTTTTTATCTATAAAGGAGCATGATGACGGAACATTGATATGCAAAACTGAAAAAAAAAATTAAAAATGAAAAACTGATAATGGTCTAAGTTTTAAAATTGAAAAAAAAAACTGTTAATATTTTCGGTTTTATTAGATAATTGAATCAAATTAATAAATAGAAGGATAAAAATGTTTAATCTCATGTTCTGTTTATTTTTTTATTATCAATTAGTGAAATAAATATTTAAAACATTACTGTACAAAATTGATAGTTTTAAAAATTAAAAAAATTGATAATATTCTCAATTTAATTAAACGGAAATGCGTCGGACCCCAGTAAACCCCACCCCCACCGACCCGCAGTGCCACGGGATTGGAAGGAAAGAAAGAAAAAAAAGAAAAAAAGAAAACTGGCCAATGGGGGCACGCCACGTCACCGGGGGTCGACCCCCACTGGGGGTGTGTAGCAGCGTTGTTAAAATAAGACTTATTGTTAAAAAATATCTTGAACTTTTTCTACTATACAAAGTCAAATAGAAATGCTTAAAAAAATAATAATAAATTCCCAAAATAAATCTATATTGATCTCTTTTATCAAAATTCCCCCCCCCCAAAAAAAAATATCAGTACACCTTTTGATATTTAATTAAAATATGAATCTGTCTCTCGTAATTTTAAAAATTACATTTTATTTATGAGATTTCTAATTTCATAACAAATCGATTATTTTATTAATAAATTATCAAATCAATTAACAATTTTTAATGGTATTATAAATATGTTTCAATTAATAATTTAAGTAATTTTATTATGATATAAAAGAATAATTATGAATTTCTTTCTTTTCTTTAATTATATTAAATAAAAAATTCTAAGGACTATTTTGAGAAGATGGTTATAATTAGTTTTTTTGAGAGAAAAAAATGAATTATAATCTGAGAAGTGAATTATAATCTACTTTTTAAAAGACCCCTAAGTAAATCTCGAGAAATACATTTGTAATTTATTCTAAAAAAAAGAAAAGAAAAAAACGTACTATATTTCTGTATAAAAGCATATACCAAGCATATACAAGATATACATAACTTGGTATATGCTCGTGGGTCCCGCCTTATTTCCTCATTCGCTAAATATATATATATATACATAACTGTTTACCTGAATCTAATCCAGAAAAAAACCCTAATTTTCAATTCAATCAATGATTATTACAGAATATAGTAGAAATTTCTCTAGGCTGTTGCTACTACTTCCTTATGCAGCTCCTCAACTATCTATCTATCTATCACCTCATCATTCCCCTCTGTTTTCCCTTCTAATTTCTCCATGCTTTCATTTTTTTCAAACAGGTAATGTGCATAATTTCATGGGAGAGTTAGTTAATCAAAGTGGGTTTGTCTATCAATTGGTGAAGTTGATGATGGGTCTGTTATGTCTGTATGTGTATATATATATATATATATAGAGAGAGAGAGAGAGAGAGAGAGAGAGAGAGAAGAGAATAGGTGTTGCTCTGTTTTCTGTTGCGTGATGAGGGGTGAAGGAACAGAACAGAGAGAAGAGTGGACAGGAAGAGGCGGGTAGTGGACCGTTTGGTTGTAGGAATAAGGGTAATTTGAAGGTTAAAATTTGCTGACATAATCAATTTTAGTTACTATTTCTAACAGTTGGATGACGAGGATGGTTTGTCGTGCTGCTAAATCCTATAAAAATAGTTGCGATTTTTTTTTTGTTTTATTATTATTCTTTTTCATAAAATTAAGTTTTGAACGTTTTCAGAAAATACATTTAAAAACTCAACCAAATAAATATGATTTTCCAAAAAATTTAAAAAACAAAAACACAATCAAACAAGTGTAGAATCTTATTTCTTCATCCTTCATAAATCTAAGATTCAAACACAATTTAAGTCAATTATCATACACAATCCGTAAAGCATGAATTCCTTTCATGGTGGAATGGGACACATACAGAGAACAAGAGCTGGATTCTACACTGAATGCACATTCAAAATTAACAGCATGGCTTGCTTAGTAAGACATGCAAAGCCTCATATAATATTATTTTTTTTCATAAAATTAAGTTTTGAACGTTTTCAGAAAATACATTTAAAAACTCAACCAAATAAATCTGATTTTCCAAAAAATTTGAAAAACAAAAACACAATCAAACAAGTTTAGAATCTTATTTCTTCATCCTTCATAAATCTAAGATTCAAACACAATTTAAGTCAATTATCATACACAATCCGTAAAGCATGAATTCCTTTCATGGTGGAATGGGACACATACAGAGAACAAGAGCTGGATTCTACACTGAATGCACATTCAAAATTAACAGCATGGCTTGCTTAGTAAGACATGCAAAGCCTCATATAAAGATGTTGCAAACCCAACAAATCCATGAGTTTGGGTGCATGGTTAGTTACACCTCAATCACATGAACATGAAATGGCTCAAGCACACATTTGATACAAATGCTCATTAATATATAATCAACTAAAATCTCCAACAACTAAATTCAAATTTGATATATTGTATGTCACACCCAAAATAAATTTGATCTACATATTTTATTTTCACAGTATTTTTAAGAATACTATGGCCAAAGTTCAAAGGGAGAAAGATAAAGAGTGGACGCGGTGCTGTTCGGACAGTTTAAAAGCAAAATTACAAATCGAATGGTGGGTTAGCAGATTAACAAATTGTGGTTTGGGAGGTTTTTGGCGGATTGAAGAATATTTTAACTAATTATCATATATTTGCATAATATACAACACTAATTTGTATAATATTTTTTAGATATATAACACAGTAATTTTACATAATATGTTTCATATATATAATTACTAATTTATAATAAATTTCATATCTTAAATCTCTCATACACTAATTTTTACATTGATATTTTATTGAAAATTAAAAAATATATATGTATTAACTATAGCGGAACAGAGTGGTTCGGTTGGTAGATTATAAATTTTAAAGTTTAAACCGCAGTTAACGGTTAGAGCAATGCAAATTGATGCTAATTAGTACGGTTTTAAAGGATTAGACAGTATTTTGCACAATTATAAGAGCAAACTTTTCACATGAAACCCTTTAAACTTATCAGAATTTTTGTATAGAATTTTCAATACATAATGGTGTGGCTTCTTGTGATCCACCCATTTCCAATGAAAACAAATACAATTGTCCTCAAAATTTCACAAATAACACTGCCACATCATTTTTGTCAAGAATTTTGTATAAAAATTATAAAAGAATATCATTTTTGAACTAGTAATTATAATAAGCCTACTTGCAAATGTAAAATCAGCAGCAACCATGAGATTCAAACCCAACAACAAAAGCTCAAAATAAAAAACTGAAGTCAGATAATATGTTCAAAACACATTTTCTCTAAGCTCCATATCAAAAGTTCTTGACTTTCTTTTTTGAAAAAACAAACACACCATAAGTTTCTGACTTTCTTTAAAAAAAGAAAAATGGAAAAAACAGAAAGTATATTACTCTGTCTATAACCACTATCCATACCCAATCAAGCCTTACCTTTGTATGGCTAAATTACCTATGTTTTTTACCTGCACATGCTGAAGAAGAGAATGAAAACAGCACCAACAGGAGAAATCACTGGCATAGGTGCATAGCGGAATCATAATGGTTTAAGTTGTCCTGACACTCAACTGAAAGGAGTTTTTTTACCAAACCCTTGTTATTTTGAAATAGATTTCCCAAATGTAAATTGTTTTGAATTTATTTCTAAGACCCAGATTGTTCTTTAAAGTCCTGTTTCCAAATCACAACTTCACACGACTTAAAAACAACATAAGTTCGGAAAATAAGTCCAAAATATGTTTTAAAATGGCATGAGTTTAGTAAATAATTCCATCCGAAAAGCATGGCAAGCCACTTATCCGGACGAACTCTTCAAATTGGCTACAATCTCACTGCACTTCTTCAACAGGTATAACATCTGCTGAGAAATGTCAATGCTGTTGGTCGGGGCACTGGCATTCTGACAGCTCTTGCTGCTCGTTGCCTCGCCTTGGAGATATTCCTTGTTGATGGCATTGACAACATGACCAACACTGCGATTCTCATGCATAGCCGGGATTTGGGAAGGGAGAGAAAGCTGAGGCGGCAAAGTTGGGGGCATTACTTGATGAAAGTTCGCAACATTGTCCTTGATGGTTGTGCGCGAAGATGAAATAGGATTCAGATAATTGCCAATAATGGAGCCACTGATTTTGTTAATGCTTGGCAGCATTTTATCTTTCCCAGAACTTGCATTCCCCTCCAACTTGAATCTGACATGTCGTGTCACAGTCTTAACACTGTTGATAGACACCATTTCATCACCTGGCGACTTCTTCAGAATCGACTTTAGGGGGACACTTGGGTGCAGAGGCAACTGCTGAATTGCTGTAGACTTTGGTTCAAGAGATCCTTCCACAAGCCGCTTGCTTGACTCACCGGATTCAGGCAACTCTGGGGCTGAAACATTTAAAATTTGCAAGCAGTAATTTACCTTAATGTTGCCAAGGAAAGTTCTGTTGAGGACTGCGTGATTATACGCTGCCTCAGCACTAGACTTGTTCTTAAAAACAACCTTGGCAGTTGATGAATTCTGAAACACGCGAGTGGCTGACTCGTAAAGACTTCCAAAGCGTACGAATTTCGCTTTTAGTTCTGGCACTGATGGCAGCTTTGAATGAAGCGGGAACTTCATCGTCAACATTGCTGGTTCAGAAGGCCCCTCAAGTATTTCTGGCTTTGTCGACACTGATGAACCCACCATTTTTTCATCTCCTCGAATTTTCAAATGCTTCTGGCTGCCTTCCTTATTTTCTGCAGCCAATGAACTTAGCTTCCTGTATTTTTTGGGTCTCTTCATGGACTTCTCTTCCTGTTTACAAGAGGATCGACTTTTGCTGCCAGCCTTTGCTGGATCATCTGGTCTGAACGGCTTTTTCAATGTTTTTAGAGCAGAAGGTTGGTCCTTCACTTTCTCAATGTGGGGGGGCTCAACAAGTAAAGCAGTTGGTCCTTCACGTTGCGCAAGTATTGGATGCTTATCCGTAGTAATAGCTTCTTTTCCTTTTCTGACATTCCCATCTGTATCCTGATTTCCCAAAAACTTAGGCTTCATAGAAACTAGTGGAACTCTATTTTCTGAGATACAAATACCGGCCTTGCCAAATTTTGGCACTTTTGAAGTTTTCTGATCATTGCTCTGCCTGGAAAGAGATTTTTTTCTGTTTTGTTGGTCCTTGACTTTTACCCTATCTTCAAAGGCCTTGCGTTTGCCTAGGCTTTCACTGATCATTAGTTGACCACTCAATGGAGCTGTAAATAACAACAAAAAAGCACTGTAAGTGAGAAAAGTAAAAGGCTACAATGTGAAGTGTTGTTCAATCAAAAACCAACAAAATTGTAGGCAAGTATATGCACAAGATTTGAAGATGAGCCATTAAAGGGATTTGGAAGAGGAAAAAAACTCAAAATACAGAGGGTTGTTCATTTAACTTCAGAACATTTTAGTCCCTGCTATTTTGGTTGGGTACAAAAGTCCGATATGGCCATTTTCCCGTAATATGTTCAATTTAAATGCCACAGTGATTATTCAAATTTTCTGGATTTCAATCATGGAGAATACAAAAAGATCAATAATCCTAAAGAATGTTCAGGAAACTTACTGTGGAAACAACAGGATTACCTTGTAACTAGTACATGTTAAAAAAGCCATCTAGAATGCCACATGTTCACATTCTCATCAGAAATGGCAGAATGAAAACTAATATTATCCTCAGAAATTGATGGCTTTGTTTGTCTATTGGAAAAATGAAAAGCACAAGCAGAGTGAAGGCAGAAAGTCATTCCTTAAACCCTTTCCCAGAATATCTTATTCTTTCCCCCAGGGCCAAACACAGTAACATGACAAACATACAATAAACTCAAATACTCAAACTCAAATCAATAAACTGGTGACAATGAATGCCACAATATACCACATATAAGCCACATGAGGCACCATCTATGCAAACTATTACAAGCTGCTTATCATGAATCTGTTTGCGTTAGAAGTTCAGAGATTGGGATGTCCCAGACACATCCTATGCAATAAGATGCTACAAACATAAGCAAAATTCAATGAATTAGCCCATGCTTCCATGTTTGAAAATGACACTATTCTTCTTCCTTAAAACTATGCTATCTAACAAGTACAAAGTAAATATTCTCGCTGTAATTTGAAGCATAAGTCTAGAGATTGCAGCTTGTAAAACAGCCACTAAATGTAGTTCAGATAACTGTCACTGTTTAGGGTATTTTGAGGTATGACAGAGAATGAAGACTGCATATAGAATAGATGTATGAACTCTTGCTAACCCCAGCTTGGGCAGGCCAAGAGTAAAATTATCAATCAATCGATCACAATAATAATGATGCTGAATACTTGTAAGTAAAAAAGCTACACACTGTTTCAACATAGCGCGATAATGTGGATGAAAATGTTCAATCCCTTAATATGACAAACCCAGCATGAAATTTCAGGTTCAGTAATGCAAATGCTCCTTAGCGTTGATTGAAAGATGAAATTCTGTTCACCCACAATCTGATAACATAAATTGCATCTTGCAAAATATTCCTGCCCTCCTGGACAAATTGATTTCAAACATATTCCCAAGCAATGTTTAAAAGAAAATAGAGAAAAAATGCATATCCAAATCAATACATACCTTGCAGTGGTGCTTTTTCTGGGTTATGTAAACCCACCACTGAAACTCCAGGGCGTACTGGTTGTAACCTGAATGCCTGAGCATAGGTCTCATCAAACTCCTCAAACACTGCCCTCCGATAAGCAAGAACTAAAGCTACATTATTCGTCCATTCAACATTTCTTTGCACATCATCCTGCGGCATCAATGCCAATTGTTTCACAAAAGAAAGTATCTTGGATGACTGGAAAGCATCTCTAGCCCTTTCGATCTGCTTCTTTGAATACAGACCACCAGGTTGAAAGCCACTCACATCCACTTCAAAGAACCCTTCAACACTTTTAGGGCGAAATATGTTAGGATTCCGGCAACGACAAGTCAAGCCAAGTGCAGCTCTCCGCTTCACCTCATCCACAGCCTCCCCAACAGCAGTTAAAAATTCCGGAGTGTTAGTCTGCTTTGATTTCTCTGTATAGTGAAAATCAAAAGGAATGAGTCTACCTGGTTCAAACCAACCATAGGTGCCATCACCATAAAATGCAACCAAAACTTGACCCTCTTTCTCTGCACGACAGATTGATGGAGAAGCTAAAGCTTCATCAAATATTTGCCCTGGCCACCACGGATGAGATTTGACCTTCCCCCATACCATATCGCCAACCTCATATCCTGAATCTTTTAATGCATCAAACATTTCAAATTGAATACGAATTGAATCATGAATACAGAAGATTCAGCAAAACCCAAGAGCCTTAAAAGCAATTTTTCCCGTTTTCCGAGCAAACAATTAAATCAAAACAGCTGCTACCAAAATCAAAATCAAATAATACCTTACCATTTTGAAAAGTACTTTCTTGCTTTCAAATCAAACATTGAATTGGTTTTACTTTAAAAGCCACAGAATTAATCCCAGTGTATATCTATTAGTTTGGAGATAAAATGTATCAGGGCAAAACCATGTATCAAAACCAGAAAACACATACCTTTTAGATCGTCTAAGGAGGGCTTAAGTCTGCTGTACATGTCCATTGAACTATGTTCTGAAGAATTCCTTGTTTCCCCCGACCCCATTTTCTCTACAAAATTCCTTAGATCTTTAGTGTATTGAATATCTTGATTTCTCTCGCCTGAAGAATTCCTAGTTCCTTCCCTTGTTCTGGCAGGCCAACTTTCTTGACTTCGCTCGCTTGCTCTCAAATCCCTAGAGCTTTAATGTATTGAATACGAATTGAATCATGAATACGGAAGGTTCAGCAAAACCCTAGAGCCTTAAGAACAATTTTTCCTGTTTTCCGAGCCAACAATTAAATCAAAACCGCTGCTACCAAAATCAAAATTAAATAATACATTACCATTTTGAAAATTACTTTCTTGCTTTCAAATCAAACATTGAATTGATTTTTATCCTAGTGTATACACAAACCATTAATTAAGTTTTATAAGTTTGGATATTAAATGTACCAAGGGCGTAAACATTTATCGAAACCAGAAAACACATACCTTTTAAGCAGACCGTCTAAGGAAATCATACACATTGACTGCTATACATAACATCTCATTTAAACCCTATGGTATCTATCTATATCTAAGCATATAGCGAGGGAGAGTGAGAGGGAAAGGGGAAAAATTGGGAGTATGATCTTTCAGTGTTAATGTGGACAGGGGTCCGATCGTGGTTACTAACAATACCAGCTCCACCGTAATCAGTACTCAGAGGAAGACACGTGTCAACATGGAAATTTTGTGAGCTATAATTTGTTACACGCACTTGTGCTGTGCCACAATATTGCATAGGATGCTATATGAGGTATTTGCAGCATAATATAATTGCACAAGCCAATATATACATACATACCATATATAACCAAAAATTTACTTTTTGAGCAATGTTAATATTTTGGAATGTTAAGGTAAGATCACTAAAATTGAGTCAATTGATATTTTTTTAAACACAACACAAGCTATATCCTTAATTATACGTTGTTAATTTTCTATTTAATGCATCACAAATTGTGCTATCTGACGTGTGCTTTTTTGTGATGCGACATGATGGAGGGTTATGTTTGTCATGGAAAAATGGAAGGTGTTTGACTGACACATTGTACCTGCATACAACTTCACAATTATCAATGAATTAAAATATATATTTATTGCGGCACATAGCACAAAAGTTCCAAAAAAAAAAAACTATTAACACATGTTACACATGAGGCATGATGTTTCCTTGTAAAATGCAGCAAGTATCAATTTGGCTATATGCGCAAGACTCATTGATTATTCATAGTCGAAATTCTTGTCTAATAAATTACTCTCTTTTCCACATCGCATTATCAATGAATTAAAATATATATTTATTGCGGCACATAGCACAAAAGTTCCAAAAAAAAAAAACTATTAACACATGTTACACATGAGGCATGATGTTTCTTTGTAAAATGCAGCAAGTATCAATTTGGCTATATGCGCAAGACTCATTAATTATTCATAGTCGAAATTCTTGTCTAATAAATTACTCTCTTTTCCACATCGCAAAAGTTTTACATTTTCCATCTTTCAATGCATCAAGCACTCAATTTTAGTGCTTTCATCTGACATAGAATCTAAAAAAATCTAGAAATTTTGTTTTTTGACTTTCCCTCTCTCACTCCTCTATCTCCTTATCTCCCTTTAATTCACAGCCTCCAGTTCTCTCACCTGCATCAAATACACAATCCTAGTGATTTAGTGTACTGTTCCCTATTGCAAACCTTTGGTTTTTTCAATAATTCCCTGTTTCCATACTATTTTATGAAACCTCGTAGAATTAATTTCATCACAAACCCTAAATTTCTTAGACCAACCAAAGATTTAACATTTTTTGACAACTAAATTACATGTCTCCCAGCATAAACCTACCAACTGAAGCCCCAACTTCAACTCCACTTCTATATGTCTGTTTAATTTAATAGAGTTCCGAATAATTCGTAGTTGCCTCAAACCCCAATTTCATTCACAATTCCTCAAACCACCAAATTCACCACATTTGAAGCCCTTCAAGCCATATTATAATATGCTTGATAGGCGTGCGTATCTGCTAAAAACCCAAACATAGATGTCACATAGGCGACAAAGGTTGAGTTCAATGTATTGCATACTTGTTATCTCATGAATATATCATAAGATTAATATATAAGCAAAAGCTAGAAGCTTTATTTAGTTATCATCTTTTAGAGTAGTTTTCTGCATTTAATGCAAATCGTAAAAACAAGACAACTGCTACCAAAATGCCAACAAAACAAGATGTAGCATCTTTCAATGTGCATTATTGCTTCGGAGCCAAATATTGAATTAATTTATATTCCTGAAAATCCTTAGAAGTAATTTCACTATGTAAATAAAATATTAACTAAGTTCTAAGCATTCGGTGACTGAGATAAAAGTGATACTTTGTGAGAGGTAACTATGCATTATAATTGTGAATGTGTTAGGTGCATCCATACCACGTTAGTTGCAATACTAGTGGTAGAAAATACCAATATAGTGAACATGGCATGTGTATCAAATGTGCAACATCACTAATTTTTGCATAGTCAAATTTCTTTCTAATAATTCACCCTCTCGCTATGTATCACAAAAAGTTTTTGGAAACCATCTCTAGCCCTTTTGACTTGTTTCACTAAATACACACCAGCTTCAACCCCACGCACATCCTCTTCAAAGAACCCTTGAACACTTGTAGGGCAAAATTTATTAAGGTTCCAGCAAAGTCAAGCCAAATGTAGCTCTCCACTTCACCTCAACCTTAGCCTCCCCAACAACAGTTATAAAGGTCTGATTGTTAGTGTGCATCGATTTCTTTGCATAGTGAAGATCAAAAGAATTGAGTCTAATTTGTTCAAACCATTCATAGGTGCTGTTACAATTCAAGTATTATTGATTGATTGATTGTTACAAGATTGATTAATTACAATTCCTATACAATCTATATATAGAAGAAAATGTGGTAGTAGGTGTAGTGGAGGTGATAGTGGGTTAGGTGAAGTGGAGTGTGTGGTGAAGTGGAGGTAAGTGAAGTGGAGTGTGTAGTGGAGTAGGTGAAGGTAAAGATGGGAAATTCTAACAGCCCCCCGCAAACTCAAGGAGGAGAGAAACTAACCAACTTGAGTTTGGAGAGAGTAACAAAACAAGAAAATACATAAAAATAAAAAAGGATAGGAGACACTGTATGGTCGTGTCAGACCGTTGGTGAAGACACTGTATGGGGTGTCATAACGTTGTAGAGGACACTGTATGGTGGTGTCAGACCGATGTAGAAGACAGTTTATGGGGTCATGTCGGACCGTTGTAGAAGACAGTTTATGGGGTCATGTCGGACCGTTGTAGAAGATAGAGCACGAGCACCTGCTGACCTTAAAAATAGGTCCAGAACCACCACCATCTGACACATCACAAATGAAAATGGAACCAGTAATTTTATCATGCCAACAGGATTTATAGCCTACGGGCCAGATCTGGTTGCCATTATGATAAGACAGTTTAGTATCAACTTTTCCCAAAGAAAGCACAAAGAAATCTCCATATTGAACTGGAAGTCCCTCCTGAAAAGAACAGACATAAAATCAGGCATGAAGACCAAGCTAAAGACCATAAGCCAACTACTGTAGCCACACAAATAGATGAGCATATATCTAGTCGGGGGAAGTAACCATCTTACATGAAAAAAATATAAACAACTAGTTCACTTACATTAAATTGTTGGGGCCCGGTCCCACTGATTTCTTTTGGCATAGCTCCCACTACTTCTACATTATTTTCAAATTTGCTTGCGCAACCCATAGTATTAAAATCAGATGAGAGATCCTTGCCTAATCCACTCGAAATTTTGTTATTTTCAGACAGACTATTAGCCATTGAAAGTACTGCAGACTTTCTTCCTTTGGCTAAATGCGACCTCTGCAATGAAGCACATCCATTTTTGGGTTCTTCAGAATTGCTATTAGACATCAACCCCAGATGACAGGCAACTTCAGGCATCGAATCAAATGTCTTCCCATCTGGAGCACAGTAAACAGCATGTAGCTCACCATTGCCCATGGATCTTTTGAATTCCACACACCAACCTTCTTCTAGAACACCATGCCTTTCAGATATAAACTCGTTAAGAGCCTGCAAATGCATCTCATTTGGATTCTGAGGTGCTTGTCTAGTAGCTGTATGATTACTACTCCTAACACTTCCTAAAAGGGATTGCATATCTGCCTCCTCAAAACCTCTAACCACAGAATATGTGCGATGCAATATATCTTTGACACCAAGAGTCACAATACCAGATGATTTTTGAAACCCAAATCCCTTTCCCACGTACAATGAGTTTGAGTACGTCACTGGAGCACCAAAAGAATTATCACCTGGACACGAGGTTACAATGGGCTCGCTTAAACCATCAGTTCTAGGAGAAATAATATCATGACTTTCTTGGATTTTCTCACCAAATCTCTCTAGGAGAGTAAGGCCATCAAACAGGGTAGACATAGATGGTTGGGAAGAGTTAAGATAGGGTTGCGGCTAGGGATGGCAAAATGCCTTGACCTGCCAGGTCCCTGACGCCCCCTAACCCTAATAAGATGGGTTTAGGGATGGTTAAATAGACTAGAGTTGAATTTGAGAAAATTTTTAAAAAATCAAATTTGGTTTAGGCTAGGGGGAGAGAATTTTTTTACTCGAACCCTACTCGACCTGCAAATATAATAATAAATAAATAATAATATTACATATATATATGTGTGTGTATAATATATTATTAAATTTTTATAAAATATATATAATATCTATTGAGTTTTTATTATGAGAGGCTTACTGTTCAAGAAACATGGACATCTTCAAGTTGAAGTATACACAGATGCAGACTGGGCAAGAAGTGTTACAGACAGGAGATCAGCATCCGGATACTGCTCCTTTGTAGGTGGGAACCTGTTACATGGCGGAGTAAAAAACAGAATGTGGTAGCTAGAAGTAGTGCAGAAGCAGAGTTCAGAGCTGTTGCCCATGGAATCTGTGAAGTAATGTGGATTAAAAGAATTCTTGAAGAATTAAAGCTTTCTCACCCGACACCTATGAAGGTCTATTGTGACAACAAAGCAGCTATATCTATAGCTCATAATCCAGTTCTACATGATCGCACAAAACATATAGAAGTGGATAAACATTTTATCAAGGAGAAAATCAATGCTGGCATAATCTGTATGACCTACCTTCCAACAGGTGAACAATTAGCTGATGTGCTAACGAAGGGACTACACAAGAAGCAATTTGATAAGCTGACTAGCAAGCTGGCTATGGAAGATATCTTCAAACCAGCTTGAGGGGGAGTGTTGGAAATTTGTGTTAATGTATATAATAAGATGGTGGCATGTATATAATATGATAGTGGTGTTGGTGAAGGATAGTGGCATGTATAGAATATGATTGTGGTGTTGGTGGTAGATAGTGGCATGTATATAATATGATAGTGGTAGATAGTGGTAATATATAATATGTAAGTGGCATATAATGGGTTATAATGATGTTTGTAATATCTCCTATATAAGGAGTGTCATTTGGTCTTGTAAAATAAGAAGTTTTGAATATAACAGAAATATATTCCTTCTTCCTCATATTTTCGGAGTTCTTCTTCCTCATATTTTCTAAGTCCATTCATAGGTGCTATCACCATAAAATGTAACCAACACATGACCCTCTTCCCTTGTGTTACAAACTGATGGAATCATATCCACCTCGTGTCCATATCCCAAATCTATCAATTTTTCTTTTATCAATGCATCAACCATTTTGAGTGCGGTGCCTTCATCTAATGTAGAATCTAAAATATCAAAAACCAAATTGCCACATGCCTCTTACTTCTCCATTTCCCTTTATCACCCTTGAAGGAATCATTTCTTCCTATTCCATCATGGCCATCAAATGTGCCATCTTAGTGCTTCTAGAAGCAAATCTATTGGTGCCCCCAATTGCCAATTCCCTAGATTTGATTCTGGAATCTATACCTTCCCTTTTCTTACCAATTCCTATGGAATTAATATCATCATAGATCCTAAATTTATTACACTACAATTCATTAATTTGACATTTTTTATAGCCGAATAAAGATGTACAATTTTACGTTGAACAATTTCTTACCATGTACTATTTTACATTGAACAATTTCTTACGCTAAATTTTTTTCTAAATTTCTTACACTAAACAATTTCCTTCTTTCAATGCATCAAGCATGGCACCTTTGTCCAATTTAGAATCCAAAAAATCAAAATCCAAATTGACATCTCCCTCTCTCTCTCTTTGCCTTCATCCAATCTTAGAGGTCACTATGCATTATAATTGTGAATGTGTTGAGTGCATTCATGCTATTTTAGTTGCAATACTAGTTGTAGCAAATAGAAATAAAGCATGCATGGCACATGTATCAAATGTGCAACGTCACTAATTTTTGCAGAGTCAAATTCCTGTTGTCTCTCAAAAAGTTTTTGGAAACCATATCTATCCCTTTCGATCTGCTTCACTGAATATAAACCTCCAGGTTCAAGCCCATTCACATCCACTTCAACGAACGTTAGTAGGGTGAAATTTCTTACGCTGTGTTTGGTTGGGGGATTTGAGGAGGGATTTGGAAAGGGAAAAGGAAAAGTTAGGTGAAATGTAAATAAAATATACTTACATTTCACCTAGTTTTATTCACATTTCACCTACCTTTTCCATTTTCCTTTCCAAATCCCTCTCCAAATCCCCCAACCAAACACACCATTAAGGTTGTAGCAACAAGAAGTCAAGCCCAGTGCAGCCCTTCAATCACCTCAAACAATGTAGAATAAAAAAAATTGAAATCCAACATTTCCCGTGATCACCACTGAAGAAATCACAACTTCGTGAGACACCTCCAGGTTCAAGCCCATTCACATCCACTTCAACGAACGTTAGTAGGGTGAAATTTCTTAAGGTTCCAGCAACAAGAAGTCAAGCCCAGTGCAGCCCTTCAATCACCTCAAACAATGTAGAATAAAAAAAATTGAAATCCAAATTGCCACATGCCTCTTACATCTCCATTTCCCTAGATCATCACTGAAGAAATCACAACTTCGTTTTCTGTCACGGCCATCAGATATGCCATCTTAGTGCTTATAGCAGCAACTCTATTGATGCCCACAATTGCCAACTCCTTAGATTTGATAATAGAATTCATACCTTCCTTTTTTTACCAATTCCTATGGAATTAATATCGTCACATATCCTAAATTTTTTACAACAATTCATTGATTTGAAATTTTTGATAGCCGAATTACCATATACAATTTTACATTGAACAATTTTACACGGAACAATTTCCTAAATTTCTTACACTAAACAATTTTCTTTCTTTCAATGCATCATGCATTTCAAGCATGGGGCCTTCATCCAATGTAGAATCTAAAACAACAAAATCCAAATTGACATCACAGTCATTGCCTTCATCCAATGTGAAACATAACTATGCATTATAATTGTGAATGTGTCATGTTCATTCATGCTATCTTAGTTGCAATACTAGTGGTAGAAAATACCAGTATAGTGAACATGGCAAGTGCATCAAATGTGCAACATCACTAATTTTTGCATAGTCAAATTTCTATCTAATAATTCACCCTCTCGTCATGTATCACACAAAGGTTTTGGAAACAATCTCTAGCCCTTTCGATTTGCTTCAATAAATACACACCACCAACTTCAAGCCCACACACATCCTCTTCAAAGAACCCTTGGGAAAAATTTATTAAGGTTCTAGCAACAAGTCAAGCCAAATGTAGCTCTCCATTTCACCTCAACATCAACCTCTGCTTTGATTTCTTCGTATAGTGAAGGTCAAAAGAATTGAGTCTAATTCGTTCAAACCATTCATAGGTGCTATCACCATAAAATGTAACCAACACGTGACCTCTTCCTCTATGTTACCAAATGATGGAATCATATCCACCTCATATCCATATCCCAAATCTATCAATTTTTCTTTTATGAATGCATCAAGCATTCCGAGTGCGGTGCCTTCATCCAATGTAGAATCCAAAATATCAAAATCCAAATTGCCACATGCTTCTTACTTCTCCATTTCCCTTTATCACCCTTGAAGGAATCATTTCTTCCTATTCCATCACGGCCATCAAATCTGCCATCTTAGTGCTTCTAGGAGCAAATCTATTAGTGCCCCCAATTGCAAATTCGTTAGATTTGATTCTAGAATCTATACCTTCTTTTTTCTTACCAATTCCTCAAGAATTAATATCATCACAGATCCTAAATTTATTACACAACAAATCATTAATTTCACATTTTTGATAGCCAAATAACCATGTACAATTTTACGTTGAACAGTTTCTTACCACGTATTATTTTACATTGAACAATTTCTTACGCCAAACAATTTCCTAAATTTCTTACACTACATAGTTTCCTTCTTTCAATGCATAACACACGACGCCTTCGTCCAATGTAGAATCCAAAAATCAAAATCCAAATTGATGTCTCCCTCTCTCTCTTTGCCTTCATCCACTCTTAGACGTAACTATGCATTACAATTATGAATGTGTTAAGTGCATTCATGCTATGTTAGTTGCAATACTAGTTGTAGCACATAGCAATAAAGCGTGCATGGCACGTGTATCAAATGTGTAACATCACTAATTTTTGCATAGTCAAATTCCTTGTCTCAAAAAGTTTTTGGAAACCATATCTATCCCTTTCATTCTGCTTCACTGAACACACACTGCCAAGTTCAAGCCCACTCACATCCACTTCAACGAACGTTAGTAGGGTAAAATTTGTTAAGGTTCCGGCAACAAAAAGTCAAGCCAAGTGCAGCTCTTCAATCACCTCAAACAATGTAGAATCAAAAACACAACTTGACATGATTTAAAAACAACTTAGGTTTGGAAAAATGAGTTCAAAAACAGTTTGTATTTGGGAAATTTGTTTCAAAATGGCATTAGTTTAGTAAATAACTCCATCCAAAATGGCAAGCCACTTATCCGGACGAACTCTTCAAATCGGTTACAATCTCACTACACTTCTTCAAAAGGTATTACGGCTGCTGAGAAATGTCAATGTTGTTGGTCGGGGGACTGGGATTCTAATAGCTCTTGCTGCTCGTTGCCCCCGCCATGGAGATATTCCACGTTGATGGCATTGACAATGTGACCAACACAATGATTCTCATGCATAGCCGGGATTTGGGAAGGAACAGAAAGCTAAGGCTGCAAAGTTGGGGGTATTACCTGATGAATGTTCGCAACATTGTCTTTGATGGTTGTACGCGAAAATGATACGGGATTCAGATAATTGCCAATAATGGAGCCACTGGTTTTGTTAATGCTAGGCAGCATTTTCTCTGACTTAGAACTTGCTTTCCCCTCCAACTTGAATCTGACATGTCGAGTTGTTGATAGACACCATTTCATCACCTGACGACAAAGGTTGAGTTCAATGTATTGCATACTCATTATCTCATGAATATATAATAAGATTAAAATATAAGCAAAAGCTAGAAGCTTTATTTAGTTATCATCTTTTAGAGTAGTTTTTTGCATTTACTGCAAATTGTATAAACAAGACAACTACTGCCAAAATGCCAAGAAAACAAGATGCAACATTTTTCAATGTGCATTCTTGCTTTGGAGTCAAAAATTGAATTAATTTATGTTCCTGAAAAGCCATAGAAGTAATTTCAATATGTAAATAAAATATTAACTAAGTTCTAAGCATTCGATGACTGAGATACAAGTAATACTTTCTGAGACGTAACTATGCATTATAATTGTGAATGTGTTTGGTGCATTCATACTATGTTAGTTGCAATACTAGTGGTAAAAAATACCAATATAGTGAACATGGCACGTGCATCAAATGTGCAACATCACTAATTTTTGCATAGTCAAATTTTTATCTAATAATTCACCTTCTTGGCATGCATCACAAAAAGCTTTTGCAAACCATCTCTAGTCCTTTCGATTTGCATCACTAAATACACCACCAGCTTCAAGCACATGCACATTCTCTTCAAAGAACCCTTGAACACTTGTAGGGCAAAATTTATTAAGGTTCCAGCAACAAGTCAAGCCAAATGTAGCTCTCCACTTCACCTCAACCTTAGCCTCCCCAACAACAGTTATAAAGGTCTGATTGTTAGTCTGCATCGATTTCTTTGTATAGTGAAGATCAAAAGAATTGAATCTAATTCGTTCAAACCATTCATAGGTGCTACCACCATAAAAATGTAACCAACACGTGACCCTCTTCCTTTGTGTTACAAAATGATGGAATCATATCCACCTCATGTCCATATCCCAAATCTATCAATTTTTCTTTTATCAACACATCAAGCATTTCGAGTGCGGTGCCTTCATCCAATTTCGAATCTAAAATATCAAAAACCAAATTGCCACATGCCTCTTACTTCTCCATTTCCCTTTATCACCCTTGAAGGAATCATTTCTTCCTATTCCATCATGGACATCAAATGTGCCATCTTAGTGCTTCTAGAAGCAAATCTATTGGTGCCCCCAATTGCCAATTCCCTAGATTTGATTCTAGAATCTATACCTTCCTTTTTCGTGCCAATTCCACAGGAAGTAATATCATCACAGATCCTAAATTTATTACACTACAATTCATTAATTTGAAATTTTTGATAGCCGAATAACCATGTACAATTTTATGTTGAACACCACGTACTATTTTACATTGAACAATTTCTTACGCTAAACAATTTCCTAAATTTCTTACACTAAACAATTTCTTTCTTTCAATGCATCTAGCATTGTGCCTTTGTCCAATGTAGAATTCAAAAAATCAAAATCCAAATTTACATATCCCTCTCTCTGCCCTCATCCAATCTTAGAGGTTGAGTTGAGTGCAGTATAATTGTGAATGTGTTGAGTGCATTCATGCTATGTTAGTTGCAATACTAGTTGTAGCAAATAGTAATAAAGCGTGCATGACACATGTATCAAATATGCAACATCACTAATTTTTGCATAGTTAAATTCCTATTGTATCTTAAAAAGTTTTTGGAAACCATATCTATCCCTTTCGATCTGCTTCACTAAATACACACCGCCAGGTTCAAGCCCACTGACATCCACTTCAACGAACATTACTAGGATGAAATTTATTAAGGTTCCAAAAACAAGTTGTTAAGCCAAGTGAAGCTCTTCAATCACCTCAAACAATGTAGAATCAAAAAAATTGAAATCCAAATTGCTACATGCCTCTTACATCTCCATTTCCCTTGATCACTATTGAAGAAATCACAACTTTGTTTTCCGTCGCGGCCATCAAATGTGCCATCTTAGTGCTTCTAACAACAAATGTATTTGATGCCCACAATTGCCAACTCCTTAGATTTGATTATAGAATTCATACCTTCCTTTTCTTACCAATTCTCTGGAATTAATATCCTCACATATCCTAAATTTTTTACAACAATTCATTGATTTGAAATTTTTGATAGCTGAATTACCATATACAATTTTACATTGAACAATTACTTACCGAGTACAATTTTACACCGAACAATTTCCTAAATTTCTTACACAACAATTTTCCTTCTTTCAATGCATCTAGCATTTCAAGCATGGGGCCTTCATCCAATGTAGAATCCAAAACATCAAAATCCAAATTGACGTCTCAGTCTTTGCTTTTATCCAATGTGAAACGTAACTATGCATTATAATTATGAATGTGTTATGTGCATTCATACTATGTTAGTTACAATACTATTTGTAGCAAATATCAATAAAGCGTGCGTAGCACATGCATCAAATGTGCAACATCACTAATTTTTGCAAAGTCAAAGTTCTTTGTAATACTCCACTTTCTAGCCTTGTATCGCTAAAAGTTTTTAGAAACCATCTCTAGCACTTTCAATCTGCTTCACTGAATATACACCGTCAGGTTCAGGCCCACTCACATCCACTTCAAAGAACACTTAAGGCAAAATTAGTTAGTGTTCTACCAACAAGAAGTCAAGCCAATTGCAACTCACTGGTTTACCTCATCCCCAGCCTCCCCAACAATAGTAAAAAATGTCTAATTATTAGTTTGCTTCAATTTCTTTGTATAGTGAAGGTCAAAAGGAACGAATCTAACTGGTTCAAACCATAAAATGCGACGAACACATAACCCTCTTCCTTTGTATTATATATTGATGGAGAAGCTAAAGCTTTATCAAATATTTTCCCTAGCCACCAAAAATGTTATTTGACCTTTCCCCAAACCATATCTCCCAACTCATGTCCATATCCCAAATTTTCAATTTTCCTTTCTTCAATGCATCAAGCATTTCAATTGCGGTGCCTTCATCCAATGTAGAATCTAAATCAAAATCCAAATTGTCATCTAGCTTCTCCATTTCCCTTGATCACCATTGAAGAAACCACAAATTCCATTTCCATTGCGGCCATCAAATGTGCCATCTTAGCTACAAATCTAATTGTCAACTCCATAGATTTGATTATAGAATCCCTACCTTCCTTTTCTTACCAATTCCTGTGGAATTAATATCATCACAGATCCTAAATTTCTTACACTAAACATTCATTGATTTGACATTTTTGATAAACAAACTATCACATACTATTTTACACTAAACAATTTCTTATGTTGAACAATTTTCGTTCTTTCAATGCATCAAGCATTTCAAGAGTGGTGCCTTCATCCTATGTAAAAACAAAATCAAAATTGATGTCTCCCTCTCTGCTTTCTTCTAATGTTATGCATTATAATTATGAATGTGTTGTGTGCATTCATGATGTGTAAGTTGCAATATTAGTTTTAGCAAATAGTAATAAAGTGTGCATGGCAAGTGCATCAATTTTGCAACATCACTAATTTTTGTATAGTCAAATTTCTATTTAATACTCTCTCATCTCATATCATAAAAAGTTTTTCGAAACCATGTCTAGCCTTTCCTATCTGTTTCACTGAATACACATTGCCAGATTCAAGCCCACTCACATCCACTTCAAAGAACACTTGTAGACCGAAATTTGTTAAGGTTCCACAACAAGAAGTCAAGACAAGTGCAACTCTTCTGTTCACCTCATCCTAACCTCCCTAATAATAATTAAAAATGTTTGAGTGTTAGCTTGCTTTGATTTCTTTGTATAGTGAATATCAAAAGGAATGAGTTTTACTAGCTCAAACCATTCACAAGTGCTATCGCCATAAAATGCAACCAACACACGACCTTCTTCCTTTGTATTACAGGCTGATGAAAAAGCTAAAGTTTCATCAAATATTTTCCTTGGCCATTACAAATGTGACTCAATTTTTTCCCAAACCATATCTCCCGCCTCATAACCATACCCCAAATCTTTCTATTTTCTTTCTTTCAATCCATCAAGCATTTCAAGTGTGACGCCTTCATCCAATGTACAGTAAAAAAAAACAAAATCCAAATTGCCATGTGCCTTTTGCTTCTCCATTTCTTTCGATCATCCTCGAAAGAAATCACAACTTCCTTTTCCATTGTGGTCATCAAATGTGCCACTTTAGTGCCTTTAGCAACAAATCTATCGATACTACCAATTGTAACTCCTTAGATTTGATTATAGAATCCAAAAAATCAAAATTTAAATTGACGTCTCTGTCTCTAACTCCTCTATAATACCTTTATCAACCTAGAAAGAATTGTAGCTTCTTGTTTCGTTTACGACCATCAAATGTGTCATCTTAATGGTTCTATAGTAAATGTGTTGTCTTAAATTGCCAACTCCTTAGGTTTGATTATAAAATCCATACATTTCTTTTTCTTACCAAGCAAAAGCAACATATACCCTAAATTCCTTACATTGAACATCCATTGATTTGACATTTTTGACATCGAATTACAATGTCTACAAGCGTTAACCCTACCATCAAAAGCACTTAACTCTATTGTACACGCCCATTTAACCACGTGTATGTTGTAACAAATTCTTACTTTCCTTATCCCATTTTGACTATAAAACTCCCAAACAATTAATTTACCTCCTATGAATCCCTACAAGCTACCATTAATTTACTAATTTGTAGGACACTTCATAAACATAACGGACACATGCACAACAAATTCTCTTATTATTAAAAAATAAAATTAACATTAACATTAAAAATCAGACTTGGATATGCTTTGGGTAGTTGGGAGACACACATATCCATTGCTTAGACATATATGAAATACAATACAAAGTTTGAACAAAGTTACTCAGGATCTAATGATACAAAAACGGACACATGCACAACAAATTCTCTTATTATTAAAAAATAAAATTAACATTAAAAATCAGACTTGGATAGTTGGGAGACACACATATCCATTGCTTAGACATATATGAAATACAATACAAAGTTTGAACAAAGTTACTCAGGATCTAATGATACAAAAAAACAATATTAATTTATACTTATTAATCCATCCTCCTTTAAACCTTAAAAAATGTGTTTTGTTAGCTTGTTTGTGTCGTGTCACATGTCTTTGTCTATGGGACCTGTTCTGTCAGTGGTGACGTAGACATGGGTGCTTTGGTGGTGCTACTAACAATACCAGTTCAGCCATAACCACTGCTCGCCTGCAGAGGAAGACACATGTCAACATAGGAATATTGTGAATTGTAATTTGGTACATGCAATTGCGCGAAAATATTGGATAATTTCAAAGCTTACAATCTAATAAATATAATAATATTTTATAGGATGCTTTGATGTATTTGCAGCACAATGTAATTGCACAAGTAATTATATATATGTATATATTTTTTTTAATTCATGACACAAGCAATTATATACCATATAAGACACATGTCAACATAGGAATATTTTGAATTGTAATTTGGTACATGCAATTGCGCCAAAATATTGGATAATTTCAAAGCTTACAATCTAATAAATATAATAATATTTTATAGGATGCTTTGATGTATTTGCAGCACAATGTAATTGCACAAGTAATTATATATATGTATATATATTTTTTTAATTCATGACACAAGTAAATATATACCATATATAAGTAACAAAAAATTATTTTTGAGCAATGTTAATATTTTGGAAGATCACTAAAAATGAGAACCAATATTTTTCAAACTATAACACAAGCTATATCCTTAATTGTACACAGATTTCAATTTAATGCGTCGCATATTGTGGCCATGTGCACTCAAGCTGTGTTAGTTGCAGTAATAGATCGTGCATTGCACGGCATCAAAGTGCAGCATCATTGATTTTGGCATAGTCAAATTTCTAATTCTATCTAAAAATTCACCTTCACTCCTTGTATTACAAGTAGTTTTCAATATTTCTTTTTTTCAATGAATCAAGCATTTCAATCAAAGCATCTTCATAGCTTCCTGTCACCAAACTCACTACCATTAAATGTACCATCTTAGTGCTTTTAGCAACAATTCTGTTTCTGCCCCAGTTACTAAACTTTTTTAATCCCAATTATAGAATTTATACCTTCCATTTTCTTAGCATTCTTGCATTGACATTTTCAACATCTAAATTACCATGTCTGGCAGAACAAAACCTATCATCCCTGGCCCTCAATTTTAACTCTATTACACCTATCGATTGAATGAGTTCTCGACAATGTCTAGTGTTCTTAGACCGATGTCATTTTTCCTTTTAAAGAATCGAAGGAAATGAAAAGCAATGTTCAAAACAAGAACAACAGACAAGGGCTAACACCTATTAAATTAGCAATCAGTAACCTCTAATCAATTCAGGAGGATCATCATCCATCACAAGAAGGTGTCTCTAAATTTAAAACCCATCATAAATGTGTACATAATTGACAAAGTTAAACCGCATTGCATCCTCATTATGCTTCTAAAGCAAAACCCTATACCCTTAATTTTGCCAAATTTTCAAAAACCCACACAACTACTACCAAAATGTAGGCAAACAAGAAGTTGGCATTCTCAAATAACTTTTCTTGATTTGGAATCAAATATTGCATTGATTTCTATATCTTAAAACCCAAAAAATCAATTAAGAAAGCAATCCCAATATGCAAATGAAATAATGAAAGTTTCAACAATCTCTTAGTTTAAACACGAACTTGCAATAGGAAACAGAGAGAGAGAGAGAGAGCACATACCTCCTAACCTGGTTCTTTAATGAAACCACACACATTGCTGCTATGCATTCTGCTTGCTTAAACCCTAAGATTTATGTGTGTATATATACATATATTTACATTTAGAGAGAGAGAGAGAGAGAAGCAATGGAAAGGGACATGCTCTGCTTTGCTCTGCTTTCTACTAATGAGAGGTAGAGAGTACACACTCGCCACCTCAGCCTCGGCGCAATACAGTACTCGCCCATATAGAATGACCCGTGTCCTCAATGGTATTTTTTGTGATCCCCTCTGCAAACCTGCAACCATGATTTTTACAAAGGAAGTTGTTTGTGCAGTCATCCAATCAGTTTTGAGGGACTCATTTCTATTTATGTACCCATGATTTTGTTATATTTTTAAAAATAGTTTGATAGTAATTATACGTTTTAAAATCATTTGTTCACTTTTTGTTAATAATTATAATAAAATTATATGACCCTATTTAATAACAAGAACTAATGAGATCAACTTTAAATTATTAAAATAAAATTTGTCATGAATCTCACAAAATCAAACTGTATCATGCAATATAGGCTTATTTTGAAAACACGGTCAAAAATCAACTTTTTTATTATTATTTTTTTGTCACATCACTTTTTTACTTTTTTATACGTTTTTAAAAAAAATTAGAAAGTCAATTTTTAACCAACTTCTCAAAATAGACCATAGTTAATGGACTATATACAAGCTAAACTCATTTTAAAAGGTGCAACGAAAACGCATTTTGTAATCTTCAATGCGATTTATGAAATTCCTTTTAACATGTTTAGATTTTAGTGTAATTTAGTTTAATTTTTTAGAAATAAAAGGAATTTAAAAAATAATTTATATTTTATTTATATTTCTCTTTTACTTTCTTTTATGTTAATAGTATTTTTTTTAAATTCATAATTCAATGCACAATATATGCATTCACAAGGATTGATTTAACTACCAAAACTTATATTATATGATTTTTTTATTATTTTTTATAAAAATAATTTTTTTAAAATATATTTCTAATATTAATTTTTGTTAAAAATTTTAAATATTTGAAAAAAAATTGAAATGCAACCAAACAAATTCCAATTATTTATTTATTTTTTAAATTTTAGGATGAGGCAATTTAAAGAACAATTGGTAGGGCAAAAATAGATTTAAAAAATGCACACATATAGGAGAATTCTATTATACACATTCTATACTATATGCACTATTAGCTACGTTATTTTTTTCTTTAGTTATGACATTATTTTTAGATATTTGATTATGATTTTTTTTTAATATTTAGTTATGACTTTTTTTTTTTAGTTATGACTCAAAAATTATAGAGTTATGCCATTTTTCATACTTTATACCAAAATGTAATTTTTGACGGAATTGTTTGTTTAAATAGAGCGTGTATTACACGACTATGAATGGTGAGTGGAGCAATTTTTTTGGCCAAAAAATATTTGGCAAAAATAAATTTGACCCTACATACATATATACAGACTATCCATATCCATGATAAGGAAAACTTTATTGACCCAGGTGTATCTCCCAGAATTTTTTGAGTGAATGATTGTTTGGTGGGGATTAAATTTATTTAGTGTAGGGTTCATAGGAAACTCTGTTAACCCAAACTTATTCACCCAAAATTTTTTAGATAAATGATTGTGTAGTAGAGATTAATTTTTGGATTAATAAAGGTGGATTTGTAATATTACTCGATATGCGTATATAGAATAAATCTGAATAATAAATTGACAATTTTGAATGATAAGGGTGGGTGGTAGTATTATTCCCATGACAAAAGCATACACCAAGATACACATAACTGTTTACCTGAATCTAATCCAGAAACAATCCTAATTTTCAATTCAATCAATGATTATTACTTAATATAGTAATTTCTCTAGGTTGTTGCTACTTCTTCCTTATGTAGCTCCTCAACTATCTGTCTATCACCTTATCATTCCCCTATGTTTTCCCTTCTAATTTCTCCATGCTTTCATTTTTTCGAACAGGTAATGTGCATAATTTCAAGGGAGGGTTAGTGAGTGAGTGAGAGTGTTGGGAAGATTGATAAAGAGAGAATCATTGTGAGAGGGGGGTGAATTCAATTCTGTTTTCCCTTTTATGAATTGGGTTTATCATGGGTTTGTTAATCAAAGTGGGTTTGTCTATGAATTGATGAAGTTGATGATGGATCTATTATGTCTGTATATGTGTGTATGTATGTATATATATATATATATAGAGAGAGAGAGAGAGAGAGAGAGAGATTTTGGAAGGGAGAAGAGAATAGGTGGTGCTCTGTTTTTGTTGCGTGAAGAGGGGTAAGGGAACAAAGCAGAGAGAGAGAGTGGAGAAGAATAGGCGGGTAGTGGAGCGTTTAGTTGTAGGAATAAGGTGGAATATTTAAGAATAAGAGTAATTTAGGGGTCAAAATTTGCTGACATAACCAATTTCAGTTACTATCTGTAACAGTTAGACGACGGAATATTTAGGAATAAGTGTAATTTAGAGGTCAAAATTTGCTGACATAACCAATTTCAGTTGCTATATTGAATGGATTTCAGTTACTATACCTAACGGTTAGATGACGAGAGGTGTCAGCGTATAGAGGGCTGCTAAATCCTATAAACATAGTAAGTGCTTTTTATTTTTTCTTCTTCATAAAATTAAGTTTTGAATGTTTTCAAAAAACACATTTAAAAACTCAACTAAATAAATGTGATTTTTCAAAAAACTAAAAAAACAAAAACACAATCAAACAAGTTCAGAATTCTCATTTCTTCACCCTCCATAAATCTTCAAACACAATTTAAGTCAATTATCATGCACACACACTATAAGTCTTCAAATAGAATTTTGAGTTTGATTCCACAGAAACCATTCAAAAGGCAGATATCGACATACCACATGGCCAAATTCATGGAAAAGATTAACCACTTCAGAGAATCTCAACAACCCAGTATGACCAACTCTTTTTGAAGCTGAGAAGTAAATAATGCCACAGGAATCTACATATAGAAGTTGAGGATAAATCAGTAAGACATATTAAAATTATGATCAACTTATGATACTTTGAACATATATGAGAAGTTGTGGACTATGTCTTCTACTGCCCAACCATGTATAACATTTATATCGAAAAAACCAACACCTATATTACTAGAGACATAATGGCACCCGACTGAACCTTGAGAAGAATTTTCAAGTTTTGAGTTTGATTCCACAGAAACCATTCAAAAGGCAGATATCGACATACCACATGGCCAAATTCATGGAAAAGATTAACCACTTCAGAGAATCTCAACAACCCAGTATGACCAACTCCTTTTGAAGCTGAGAAGTAAGTAATGCCACAGGAATCTACATATAGAAGTAGAGGATAAATCAGTAAGACATATTAAAATTATGATCAGCTTATGATACTTTGAACATATATGAGAAGTTGTGGACTATGTCTTCTACTGCCCAACCATGTATAACATTTATATCGAAAAAACCAACACCTATATTACGAGAGACATAATGGCACCCGACTGAACCTTGAGAAGAATTTTCAAGTACAAAACAAACTCTCATGGTGGCAAGGGAATCCAACACAAAGCAGATATACATTCAGCAACAGAAATTTTTGCCTTTTTTTCTATTGAAAGCTAAAAAAATGTAATTCTAGCATGCTAATCAAACATGCTTTACGCATTTGATCCTGTCCCTGCTAAACAAAATAGAATGTATCCCAAAATAAAATGCTTTGCAGGTACCCAAAATTTGAGTTCAACATCACAACAAGAAGTTTAGAAAACTCAAACTTAATAGCATATTACAATCACCTTTCGTACACCATTGACAAAAGAACCATTCTGAAGAGCCACAACACAGGTGTGACCATCTTTTCCCTCCCTGTTTGACGATACGACGTAAGTTCATTTCATTCTAAATCATATATGTGAACCACCCATAAATTGATGTCCACTAGAATTAATAAAACCATGAGTAATAAATGAACCTGGAGAACATATCAAGGCAGAAATAGCCCAAAAGTTCACTAGAAGATAAGTCATAGACTGAATAAAGGTGAACATCACAGTGCCAAAAACCTCAGCATCTGCAATTTCTTCGAATCTTAAACCTGAATGAAGCAAAGGAAGATGAGAGCTTAGTAGATGAATTAGCCGAGCAAAATACTGAAGTCAAGCAATGGAAACATCATGTAATTACCAAAAAGGTCTTGGCAGATTTTCAAGATCCCTGACATGACCAAATTGAACGGAAAGTATTGTTTAAGAGCTCCAAGGTCCAGATTAAATTGTTGTCCCTCAATTCTCTTCACATAGTACAACAGATCCTCAATTCCAAAAGGAAAATCTCCTTCCTCTTTTTTCTGATGTACCAGAAAACGCAGACTATAAAGACATAAAACACACTTTGGCATAACAAGATATAGACTAAGCAAAAACTAACCTTCAAGTCTTTTAACATACTAAGTTCTCTGGTGGCCAAGTCAGTTAAACTGGCAGAGAGTTCCTCTAAGAACTCAAATACTTGTTGTTACTACAGATAAGCATCCAATACTTGCGCAACGTGAAGGACCAACTGGTTTATTTGTTGAGACCCCCCCACATTGAGAAAGTGAAGGACCAACCTTCTGCTCTAAAACCATTGAAAAAGCCGTTCAGACCGGATGACCCAGCAAAGGCTGGCAGCAAAAGTCAATCCTCTCATAAACAGGAAGAGAAGTCCATGAAGAGACCAAAAAAATACAGGAAGCTGAGTGCATTGGCTGCAGAAAAGAAGGAAGGCAGCCAGAAGCATTTGAAAATTCAAGGAGATGAAAAAATGGTGGGTTCATCAGTGTCGACAAAGCCAGAAATACCTGAGGGGCCTTCTGAACCAGCAATGTTGACGATGAAGTTCCCGCTTCATTCAAAGCTGCCATCAGTGCCAGAACTAAAAGCGAAATTCGTACGCTTTAGAAGTCTTTACGAGTCAGCCACTCGCGTGTTTCAGAATTCATCAACTGCCAAGGTTGTTTTTAAGAACAAGTCTAGTGCTGAGGCAGCGTATAATCACGCAGTCCTCAAGAGAACTTTCCTTGGCAACATCAACGTAAATTACCGCTTGCAAGTTTTAAATGTTTCAGCCCCAGAGTTGCCTGAATCAGGTGAGTCAAGCAAGCGCTTGCGGAAGGATCTCTTGAACCAAAGACTAGAACAATTCAGCAGTTGCCTCTGCACCCAAGTGTCCCCCTAAAGTCGATTCTGAAGAAGTCGCCAGGTGATGAAATGGTGTCTATCAACAGTGTTAAGACTGCGACGCAACATGTCAGATTCAAGTCGGAGGGGAATGCAAGTTCTGGGGAAGAGAAAATGCTGCCTAGCATTAACAAAATCAGTGGCTCCATTATTGGCAATTATCTGAATCCTATATCATCTTCGCGCACAACCATCAAGGACAATGTTGCCAACTTTCATCAGGTAATGCCCCCAACTTTGCCGCCTCAGCTTTCTCTCGCTTCCCAAATCCCGGCCATGCATGAGAATCGCAGTGTTGGTCACATAGGATGTGGGGCTACGGGAGCTGTTGGTGGTTCCTTCTTCTCTTTATTCTTATTTCTCTCTTCCTTATGTGTTCTCTTTCTCTTCTCCACCATCACACAGCATGTGTTCGACTAAATGCCCCTTTAATTATCTTCTCTGCAAGGAGCATTATCACAACAAAAATGCCAATTTAACTATGTCTTTTATCAATTCTATTATGTGCCAATTGGTTTGTCATTCGAGGGTTATTCAGTTGGGTTTTTGTTTGCTGTCGAATTACCATTTGGAGCAATGATATCCATATAAACATATATGAAATTTAGAAGAATGATTATAGAATAAGACGATAGCTTCATATCTTGCCCAAACATTGTAAGAGAAAATGAAGTGGGTTCACGTCATTGATTTACCTTTTAACAGATGCGATATAAAATAATCATCTTGAATTATAGTAGCCAAAGCATGTACTTCAATAACTCCGCTCTATTTCAAGGATTAACTTCAATCACTTTCTGCACTATATTTATTTCAAGAGAGAAGACAACCCACTGCAGTGAATCTGCTTGGTGTTCACCCCCACATTGCCATATCACTGGTTGGTGGCAGTAGGCTTAGAAGAGAGAGATGACGAAGATATAAAATTTTTGGGTTCAAAAAAAAAAAAAAAAAGAAAGACTAAAAAGGGAATCTTTATTTTTTATATGCCTTTTTGGTCGCCCAAGAAAATTTGTAAAGTATAATTTTATGAAAAATGCTAGAGGTCCCAAATTTTCTACTAAATAAATGACTAAATGTTTTACATGGGTGTGGGGCTCACAAAATTGCGGACTCACATCCATGTGAGACATTTGGTCATTTGTTTGGTAGAAAATTTGGCATCCCTAACATTACCCTAATTTTATTTTGAAAATAAGTGCTTGACGCAAAAAATAAGGAGGCTTTTCCCAAACTATGTCTAAATATTAAGTTATTTCTCAAACTAAACTTAGTTTGGCCGAATTTTTTAGAATAAATTGAAGTGTGTTTACAAAACACACTTTCAATATGTTTCTAGCCCAAACACGACTTTAATTAAGAAAACGCTGTTGCTATTAGTGTTTTCAGGTTTAAGCACTATTTTTAACCACGCTTTTAAAGAAAATTTGTTTTTAAAAGAAAGCGTGATTCGTAACTACGTTTTTAACAGAAAAGCCATATAAAATGGCCCACCCCCTCATTTGCAACCACGCTTTTTAAACACTTTCGTTTTTTTCTCTCAAAGCCCGAACCAGTTCTCCTATCTCTCTATTGATCTCAGCTCCCTCTCTCTCTTCGTGGGTCGCTCTCTGCTCTCTCTCTCTGGTATGTGCACTCTCTCTCTCTCTCAGTTTGAATTTTATTTATGTTGATTTTGTTTGTAAAAATGTGAATGTGGGTACATAACAATATGGGGTTTTGTGAATTCAAATTAGGGTTTTATGTATTCAAATTGGGGGTTTTGTGAATTCAAGTTGAGGAAGTTTGGAAGATAAAATAGTTTGAATACAGTTTGGAAGATGGAATAGTTTTGTGAATTCAAATTGATACCAATGTGGGTAGAATAGGGTTCTGTGAATTGAAGTTGTGATTTTGAATTCACAGATTGAACCCTAGCCTTAGCCCTAGCCCTAACCCAATTCTAGAGTTTCAAATTAAACCCTAGCCCTAACCCAATTCTAGGGTTTTGAATTGAATTTGAATTCACAAATTAGGGCTAGGGTTTGTGAAATCAAATTTTGGTTATTATATGCAATAGTGTTTGTTTGTGAATTCAAATTTTGATTAATTATGAGTTGCACCAATCTTTGTGTTTGTTTGTGAATTCAAATTCTGTGTAGATAGGTCGATGTAGACAGAATCCATGTCCCAAAACCGTAGGAGACAGAATAAATTAAACTTTTTTATTGCAAATAAAATTATGGATTAACCCAAAATGATATTTGTCACTTTCTTAACTAAGTGAGTCAATCTCAATCATATGATTAACGATTTTACTTCAAAAACACCAATTGACGTTATTAATTGAATAAAATTAATATAAAATTTTAAATCAAATCAATTAAAAATTTATGAATCAAAATAATATATGAGACAAAATACAAAAATTACCAATAATTTTATCCACTAAACATTACCACTTTCCTTATCTTGATTTCACGGAAGATCCAAGGCTACCGGTTGGCAAGCAATGAACTTGCAACTGAAGATAAGAAAATAAAATGAAAACAACAAAACCAAGTCAATTCTATTGTGAAAAAGATTTTTTTTTTTTTTTGTATATATATTTTTTATGATTGTCAGACAAATCTTCACAAAAATAATAAAAAATAAAAAATTTAGTCCTCGATCTGTATTGAAGAGTATTGTTCGAACACATAGAGTGCATTACGAGTTTCATTATAATAATCTAAACCATTTGTTTTTTATTTTAAATTTTCCATTATTTAGTGTTTTTAGAGTACTACTCTCCATTATTCATGTTAGAATACTTGTCCAATTATCTCTTACAAAAGAAAGAAATTTTTTTTAATTAAATTGTAAATTAAATCATTGGTTTCTGTAATTTAAGTGAAGTGTCATTTCAGTTATTGTAATTTTAATTTGAGCATTTTGGTCTTTATATTTTAAATTTTGTTACAAGATGGTCCCTCCATCAAATGTTGTTAACAATTGAAATAAAAAAAAATTAAGTGCAAAATTAGAAAAATCAAAATAATATTTAAAACAAATTATCAAGACCAATAATATAATGAATATATTACACTGATAGTCTTTATAATTGATTTCTAATTTTACTTTAATTCCTCTTTTATTTTACTTATAGTATTTTTCCATTTTAAATTCAAACAAAATTAAAAATGTATTAAGCAAAACCCCATATTGTTGGCTAAAGATTGAAAACTTCTAAGGCCACTCTCTACCAACTGAGAAAAATTGTGATAGAGATATAAATTCATTTAATATTATACTATCCCTAACCCAATTTTAGGGTTTCAAATTGAACCCTAGCCCTAACCTAATTCTAGGATTTTGAATTGAATTTGAATTCACAAATTAGGGCTAGGGTTTTGTGAATTCAAATTTTGTTATTATATGCATTTGTGTTTGTCTGTGAATTCAAATTTTGATTAATTATGAGTTGCACCAATCTCTGTGTTTGTTTGTGAATTCAAATTCTATGTAGATAGGCCGATGTAGACAGAATCCATGTCCCAAAACCGTAGGAGACATAGATAAATTAAACTTTTTTATTGCAAATAAAATTATGGATAAACCCAAAATGATATTTGTCACTTTCTCTTACGTTGTATCTACTAGTTGCGCCCCCACGCACGGAGTCGTGGTATAGTTTCTGTCACGCCCCGAAATAAAACCAACATACTTAAAACATCAATCACATCCATTAAATAATTATGGCAAATCTCTATCCCTTACAACATTAATCAAAAGAGTTATTACAAGAGTTCCACATGCGGTTTATACATTCAACGGTTTGTAAACTAATGAATTGATAGCATGTGAAGCATTAATTCTCAAAAGCAAACAAAACGCCCCCATGGGCTTACAACTTCTAAGGCTTAAGCCCGGTTACACAAAAGTGGCCTCCCGGACCCATACAAAAATAGCCCTTGGCTAGCAATTAATCATAACAAAATAGAGCCAATTACTCTTCACAAAAATATGCCCACGCCGTCAACTTGGCGGGATCACCACATCTTTACTTGCACCAAAATCCCATAGAGGTGAGCATAAAGCCCAGTAGAGAATTCTCACCAAGTATATTCAATTATGCAAAATTCTCGCAACATTATATGCAAATGTGATGCCATGCAATGCCATTATAAAGAAGGACTTCATTTCAATGCAGAACTTGAAAATCACCATGTTTTCAATAATATTTTGCGATCTCATCAATTTCAAAACTTCCAATTTTTCAATCATTAGGTGTTATGCTCTCAAAATAATAACATTAAACCCATCAATATAGACATGCATTGATATATAAAGACTCCACATTCTTCTATTCATCAGAGTTCCATTACAA